GCTAAGGAACTCAGTGGGAGGCTGCTAATGCATTTCTGTCCTGTTTGTGAATTTCCCTGGGCCTCTGGGTTGGCCATTCTGTGAAGAGAATGCTGCACTTGGCCGGTCTGTGGTCTGATGCAGCACAGATCATCTTATATTTTGATGTCAACAAGAGAAGCAGTGGTCTGCAAAGAACAAGCAAACAAAAATAGCAGTATCTTTTAAAAAACCTCATATCATTTTTGATTGGTTTAGATTAGAAGTTAGATTAAAAGATTAGATCTTCTCTTAAATTGTTCTAGAAGAGCACTGGAGAGCTGCAAATCCACTGCCTCTTTTTAGGGTGCTTTAAGAAGATTATAGATACCGAAGGAAGGGAAGAAGAAATTCTGGGCAGGTTTTATAAATAACTTTTTAGAGTTAAACAATCACCCTTAGCTAAATAATAGAATGAAACCTGAACAAGTAGGCTACTGGGTGACCAACACCTTTTCCCTCTTGTGAATAAATATTTCCATCAAGTATTTTAATAGTGTAGCCATTATTTAATAAATAATTTGGGTGGGAAAGCAGAGTGGAGAGATGACGATATACTGAATGAGAAAAAAAAGAATATGCCCACATAGCATTCTGTATGTAGTTAAACATTTGTGCTATGAGTTGCAGATTCTGAGGTCAGCCATTCATCAAGAATTCACCAGGTTGTTTTTTCTTTCCCCTAGGCACACCATCACCCATAAGAAAGAAATGGCCTTGCTTTCTTGTTAGAAGGCTAGCCTAAGGATTGCTTAGGCAATAAAGCACTTGGACCATTTACTACAACAGCTATATAAAGAGCAGTCTTATATTTACTAGATGAGGAGCGTGTCACATGGGCAAGACCCTAGTTTCCTCTTCATTCCTTTATTTTCCTTCCCCTTGTTTCACCCTGGCTGTCAGCCTTCTCCACTGCTCCCATGTCTAACTCTTAAACATACACAGAGACACACCACATTTCTCTACCTCCTTGTCTTCTCCCATCATTCGCTTATCCACACTGTTGTCCTCCTTGTAAAAAGTATGTGACCTTAGAGCAAGCAAGCTGCTCATCTATCGACTCTGCCCCATCTCTGCTGCTTTGTTTGGAGAAAGAAAAGAAGCAGCCGCCATGGCAGGGGCAATCCAGGGGACTGACCCAGACCTCACAATGCAGCTGCTGGAGGGGCACATCTGGGTGCACCCTTTAAACTGCAAAATTAATTTTGAGACAGCAAGGTCATAACATGACAAACTTGTGTCAAATTAATGCACCTGTTAGCAAGAGAGAGGTAGTACCTGCTAATGCACCAAGGGAACCGTGTGAAGTGAACCACAAACCACTTCGGGACCAGGTGGAGGGAAATGAGCAGAGAAGGGAGTAGGATTGAAAGTACTTTTAGCCACAAGGTAAAATTTCTAGATTTCAGCTGACTCGGGTTCATGACTAAGCAGTTCTATTTTACAGAGAAGGTGATCAGTGGAAGCAAAATACTTACTGTTCATTCAGAATTGTGGTCCCTTTTTCCCCTTCATGCCTCCCTGCAGAGTTCAAAAACCTACAGTTCAGAGGCCTCTTTTTTCACTCAGCACAAATAAAGAGCGAGGTAGGTGTCACATCAGTTCCTTTTGACACATTTTAAATTCACACTTCACACCCCCTTTCTATGATTCCCTCTTCCCCTTCTCTTTTCAAACCTCAATTAATTAAAAAGAACATGCAGATCAAAAAGCTAGATTAAAAAAAACAAACAAAAGCAAACCATCTCTCTCAAAACCTCTTCTACCTAGGCTCTTCATACAAAAAGCAATGGGTACACTCACATGACATGCTAAGCCAGCCCGTGAATAAAGCTATAAAGTGTGGACTACTCACCATGGCTTTTTCTCTCCCTCTTTCCCCTTCACTCCTCCAGCTGGTATCCCAGCTTAAGTCATGGCAGAACCCATTTTATATCCCCCTCCCTGCTATGATAGCTATCCATTTTCTTTTTCTATAATTTTAAATGTTATTTTTGGACCATCAAAAGTGAATTGGAGTTGCAAATATGTTCATCATCATCATTATTGGTCTGTCTTCTGCAGATGCATAAATGCACAGTCATGGCTGTCCAGTATGTCTTGCCTTGTCATTTGCCTTGAATGTTTCAGCTGTCAAAGGAAACAGCTAAATAGAATGAGTAACATAAATGGAAATTGACAAGGCAAGCCTGTGTACAGCCTCATTTGCACAGCTGCCAGCTATCAATAGGGGTCAATTGCAAAGAAAAATGAAAAAGCAGCAAAAATAGTGGATGGAAACACTATGTATGTATGTATAGCTTTTATATCCCACCCTTCACAATATCTCAGTATCACCTCCTTAGCCATGGACTCCTCTGCCTTTTAAGTGTTGAACTGGCAGTTCTCTCCATCTTTTCAACATTTCCCTAAGTCTCCAAAAAGGAGACATATTAACACACACCCTGTTCAATCCTCCTCTACAGAGCATTCATTCTTCTGGTTACTGCAGTTCCCTAACAGTTCTGAAAACACGTGCGATGGCTAAATGCCGTCTCCAGTATCAGAGGCAGTATGTCTGTGTACACCAGCTGCTGAAGAACTTGGGCGGGAAGATGCTGTTGCATTTGCATCCTCCCTGTGGATGTTCATGGGCAGCTAGTTGGGCAGTATGTGAACAGAATGCTGGACTAGATGGATTCTTGGTCTGATCCAGCAGAGCTCCTACATTTTCAACATGAAAACTGAAATACCAGATTTTTAAAAAATAAGCAAAACCTATTATCAGGACTCATAATGCAAGCTGCTAAACTGTACAGCCTGTTAAACCACACACAGAAAATAAGCAGCTGTTTCACTTAGCATGCATGCCCTTTTATCCCCCTTCATATGTCAGGATAATCCATTTCTCTAGCCACAAAAGTTAGGCCTGGTTAACTGAAACCACTCACATAACATTCCACAGTTGTAGAGATGTCACCTTTTTAGACTATTTCAGCAAAAACCACAAGGAGTCTTGTAGTACCTTGAATGGATTCATGGTGGCACAATCCAGGTGTGTGTTAAAGTGGGTTCATCACAGGCATCTGACAGAGCAGGCACTCATCCATAAAAGGTGAGGCCATAATGAACCCATTTGTTTTCCAAGTGCTACTTGAATTGTCATTATTTTTGCAACAATAGTTTTGGGCTGCATGGGGTGCTGTTTCAGTGCTTGTATTCTCCACAATCACGACACCTGGGAAAGTCTGAAAGAACCTTAAGAATGGCCAGGGAGGGCATTGCAGTCTCTGCCTCCCTCAAAGCCCTCACCTGTCACTGTTAACTGCCCAGATGCTTCTCCTCACCCAGAGCCAAAACATCTGGAGCAACTGGATGTAGTGGTTTGGTAGTGTATCTTGGAAAAGGACAGTTCTCCCCTGTGATCACCAGGGAATGTGCAAAGAGAGGCTTTTGGAGCAGTCACAGAGGTAGCACTAGCTGAGGCTTGGGGAATGGACAGTTCACATCCCCTGTTGCAAGCCTGCATTAGTCTTCTCTTTATTTTTTTTTTAAACCCTTACTGTGTATTAATATTTGCTTACTGCCAGCCACTTTGGAGGCATATTGTCATGCAGAAAGGCAGGATATAAATATTCAAAATGCATACATGCACAAACATGTAGTTGGCTTCTCATGGGAAGCTCTTTGGTAAGGTACAAGCATCTCCCCTGGTATTTCTCCCGAACAACTTGACTGAATGACAGAACACCCAGCCGCTGTGAGGGCAGCTTTTTAAGAGGTGAAGCCAAGCTGCTCTCCTGTGTGTGATGCACAGATTATATCAGCACAGAAATGGAAAGGCTAAAAAAAGTTCCCTCCCATTAAAAAACATACCCTTCCCCCTGAACACACCTGAAAATATTGGGTTTTCCCTAATTTTTCATTTTTTTTCCTAGGCTTTCACATCTCTTTATCAGCCTTCCCCACTTTTGGATGTGTAGGAGTATCCATTGTCACAGCAGGCTGCTTGGGTTGATGGGAATTGCAGTCTGACATATCTAGAGGGTCCTAGGCTGGAGAAGTTTGGATGATACCTCCCTTATCAATTATCTTTTACCCACAAATTTTAGTGCTTTTCTATGTATCTCCTATATTATACCACTAATTGCACTACTTTTGTTCAATGATGAGGTCTTCTTCTGCCACATCCCATCATTTCAAGCCTTCTTTACTCCTCATGTGAGATGACAACCTATCCTAGAAGGTAATCAGAATCTGCCCTTCCCAGAGTTTCCTGGGAACATGTTCAAATCACATTTTGCAAAGCTGCTTCCTATATGTTGCTCTCCTTTATCTTTTCACTCCTTCTTTTTTCCAGAAAAGAAAAGAAAAAGAATTCAAAGAAGGGCCGGGAGGGGAAATTCAGAAAAGCTGCACAATATCTTTTGATTGTTTAGCAGTAGGAATCTTCTGTTTGGAAGCATCCCGTGTTTTATGATGTAACTTTCAACCACACCTCATTTTTACATCACAGGTGTCCTGATATGGATTTTGTTATGTGTTAGCTTATTTATTGATTTTATATCTTTGGCCAGGGCGTTTCCAATTATATTGTTTTTATACGATTATATGTATTTATTTATTGTTGTAAGCCGCCTCGAGGCTTCGGCGAATGGGGCGGCATAGAAGTTTACTAAATAAATAAATAAATAAATAAATAATCCTGGCAATTCTACCTTAGTCCAGTCTTGCTGAGTATTCCTCCAGCACAATTCTCATTTGTTTAGATATTTCTCCTTTGTCCTTCTACCACATTTCTACACCCCAGGTTAGATGACATTTATTTCATAAGAGATCCTTTTGCATCAGCCCCAACGTCTCAGGTATCCTTCACCATGGAGTCCACCACCTCCACAATGTCTTACTGCATTGCATTCGCAGCTGAAGAGTTCTGCCCAGTCACACCCAAGGAATTCAACCCCAACAAACATAGACATCCACTAAAAAGAATGGGCACTTACTGGTCATCTCCAACCTTCTTCACCCATGCCATGTCCCTCTCCGACTGACCCGTTGCAAGGTCCTGTAGGACATTAAAACAAGCCCTGTTATAATGGTGGATGGGGAACTGAGGAAGAAGCAAGCAAAATCCACAACTTCCCAGTTCAATCAGGTCATCCAAACTTCATGAGAAGGAAGATTAAATTCATTAAATCAATTCTACCCTGCTTTCAGGCCACAAGACAGCTTGTAACAATAACTAAAATAAAAATCATGCACCCAAGAAACAAACAAACAAAATCCTTAAAAAGTATAAAAGCAAGCAGTCAGAGAAAAATAATCCAAAAAACAGTGAGATCAGATCAACAACTCTGCAAAATAAAGAATTTTCCACAATTTGGAAACTTCCAGCAGGGAGGAAGCCCATGAAGCCTCCTTAAGGAAGGAGTTCTACCACTGAGAACTAGTCCCATGTCCCAGCCAACCAAACCTTGGAAGGAAATGGGCCCGGGAAGATGGCCTCAGCAGACAATGGCACCTGGATCTGTTATACAAAGGTTTGTGGTGTATAAGACAATGCCATGCACTTTTTTTGAAAACATAGACGAAGGTTTCCTGTGTTTCCCAGAACCAGGAAGCACCAACAAGCTGTCCAAAACAACCATCAAGGCCTCATTTAGGCCTAGCTATACCAGTGCCCATTGATCAAGCCACTGAACCCAGAAAACTGCTTGTGATAAGCAGAAAACAGATGCACTAAGGTGCAGGCATTGTTTCTCCACAGCCAGCCTTCCCAGACAGAATTTCCCACAGCCGAGGGCAAGAAGTGGAGTTTGATTGTTTGCGGGATTTATATTCAGCCCCATTAGCCAAAAAGGCTCTCTGGGTGGGTTGGGGAAGTCTTTCAGGGAATCAAACCCTGCGTATACAAAAACCTACCTGGAAAGTTTTACAAGTTAGCATCACCCCATAACCCTGCAATAGGCAAGTTCCTTTACTTAGGTTAGGATCCATCTTGGCCACAACAGATTGCTGCAATACAATCTATGTGGTGCTGCCCTTAAGGCTGCCTCAGAAGCTCAAACTAGTGCAGGATGCAACAGATTGGCTGTTGTTGGGAACTGCCTCTTTTTAGCATGCAATCCTTTCCTAAGGAAAATGCACTGGCTTAAACCTTAGGCCAGGTTTACAGTTCTGGTATTAATGCATAAAGCCCTGAACAACCTGGGACTAGGACACTAGTGATAATGTCTTCCCCTTTACCTACCTGCCTGGTCATTGAGGTCATGGAAGGGCATTCTCCTGACAATCCACATGGATTTATGGCCCAACCCACAGAAAAGCCTTCCTGTAGTGGCTCTATTTCTTTGCAACTCCCTGCCTTTGGAAGTCAACCAGGTTCCAATATTATGTTGCTTTTGGAGCCCCCTCAAGACAGTTTTTACTTCAAGAAGTCTTCCTGAACTAACCAGCTACCATTTTATTAAAGTTGCTATTAAAGGGCTATGTTTTAACCCATTATATGTTTTATATTTAATTCTACACGGCTCCTGGAGTGGCATATCAATTTCACTAAATAAATAAGTAAGTAAGTAAGTAAGTAAGTAAGTAAGTGCCCATCGGGACCACCGAACCTACAGACAACTTTCCTAGGGCTTCTGAAGGAACATGCTGATACCTGGTTTTCTTTTCTTTTTTAATTTAAAAACAATATTGGAGGCCAGAAGCACTCCAAAATAAAGTTCTGGCCTTCCACTGCCTACCATCTTTATTCCCTTGAATACGGCCTTCATGGACCCAGAGACATTCTTAGGAAGTCAAAATGGTGGAAGACTAGAGATCAGAACTTCATTTTGTTGGTCTCCAGGCTGCAGACCAAACCAAAAAAAGGGAGGGAGAGAGACCCACAGCGGCTGTGAGGAGGGAGGCAAAGGAGAACCCAAGAGGAGCTGTGGGGGGTGTGGGTAGCCTGATTAAGTGGGGGAAAGAAGTGAAGAGTCTAGGGCTAGAGCAGGAAAGCCTTGAGGTGACCCAGTGGGGCAGGGGAAGTAGTGTGTATTTGTGTACTTTTGAGTGTTGTGTGCGCATACATGACGGAGAGTTTTATGAAGGGTTATGCTCGAAAAGAGAGGAAAATTAGTGACTGGGCCAGAGGGATCGTATGTGCCATGTGGGGTGAAGGAGGATGTTGAGAATGTAAAGACAAGACCTTGGGGGGCGGGGGTCTCCTGAATGTGACAAAGAACTATGGATTTGAGAGTGAGCTTGCATTTCGGGGTTCAGCTCCCATATCTACTATGCGCTTGTGTTCTTGTACAAGTTACTTGTCTTTTTTGGCATGCAACATTTGCCTTTCTGTGAAATGGGTGCTTGAGATTGGCTGTGCCCAACATGGCAGCCATTCTGTGAATGGTCATATTCCCATGGCAAGGCATTTTGCAATGACACTGCTGATAATTCCTCAAAACTCCTGATGTGATCCAAGCCTCAAAAAGGTCGGAAGCCACTGCTTGGCCTGTCTTAAACTGTGAAAGAACGCAATGCCCCAGAGGAAGTAAGGTGGCAAAAAATTAAAACCATATTTGGTGGGAGACTGAACGTAAGTTTGAAAGTAGTTTAAGAAAGGCTTTATTTCCCACGGACACACACATTTATTTCTTCTGTCTCAGAGCTATTATTGGTGAAGCAGGATATGTAGGTGTTTTTAAATATAAACCCTCAAAATCTATTTTCTAGAGGTGAACCTAGAATGAGTACACCCCATGAACACCAATGCCTCTTTCAAATGACCTTCAGCCCTCTGGGGAACCTCCTTTCACATGTAGACACAGACCCCAATCCTAATGTAGCTTGAGCTGAGCCACAGCAGTTCCTGTGGTTACAATTGCCCCATAGCCATCCTCAGTCACACGCATGCCTGTGGCGATGTGGAAGATGCTAGAAGTGACCTGGGTCTTCCATGGATACAGTCACGGAGATTTGATCTGACAGCCATTTCCTCAATTACAATAACATATTTCAAGCTCCCACGTGTGCTTTAGCCGAACCTATAGACAAACTAGTCACAAATTATGTCCTTCATGTGAATGTGTTCCCACAGTGGACAGAACACATTGCATGGAGACAATTTTAGCTATGTGAGCCAGATTTCAGCTGCACAAATCCTTCATCAATTGACATCTCTTCAAGCTCCGAGAGTGGCTGCTTTCCCACAAGGAGACTATTCTATTGTATTCTGCTTCTGTGTAATTAATTTGCTGAGAAACCAGAAAACTGAAGAATCTATTCCAAATTTGATTTCAAGCTTAGTTACATTCTGATCTCAAGCTAATTTGCCCTTGGCAAATTGCAGCTATGGGCTTTTATAACTAGGTTTGTTTGTTTGTTTATTTATTTATTTAGAACATTTCTATGCTGCCCCAATTGTAAAAAGCCTTGGGGAGGCTTACAAAACAGATAAACAATCATACAAATAACCTTAAAAATCCAGAGACATCTCGGCAAAGGTTCTTCTTTAGTCTAACTTATCCCACTCTAAAGTATTGGTATTTTCTGGCTTTCTCAATAATCTGCCTTATATCTTTTACAGTATGCCATTTTCCAACAAACAATAGTAGAGCTATAGAATAGTACAGTTGAAAGAGGCCAATTAGGCTGTTGGGACCAGCCCCCTTCTCAATGCAGGACTCCACATTACAGATCCTGAACAGATGGCTGTATGACCGCATCTTGAGTGCCCCCAGTGTTGGATTGCTCACAGCCTCCCTAGGCAATTGACTCCATTGCATATTGCTCTAACAGTCTGGAGATTTTTAGACACAATCTGGCCTCCTATAACTTATGCCCATTTTCCCATGTCCTGCACTCTGGGCTGATGCTCGTCTTTGAAACAACCTTTCAAGAATTTGAAGAATGCTATCATATCTCCCCTTAGTCTTCTAAGGACTAAACATACCCAGTTATCTTAGTTTCCCCTTATAGGGTCCCAGTCCACAGATCTTTCTTGAATGGCAGTACCAAGAACTGGATGCAGTGTTCAAGATGACTAACCAGTGCTATATAGAACTAGTACCTTGTGTGATTTGGAAGTGATGCTTCTAAGAATGCTGTGCAAAGCAGAGTTCACAGCCACACACATGGTTGTGTGTCATATTTAGCTTGTGATCCACAAAAGTTCCGAGACCTTCTCACTTGTAGTATGGTTGAGTGAAGTATCTCCCACCATGTAGTGATGCATTTGGTTCCCTTTTCCTGGGTGTAGGACTTGGTACTTTTCCCAATTAAATTTCATTCTGTTGATTTCAGCCCAGCACTCCAGCTGATCAAGATCACTCTGAATTTTATTTTGTCTTCCAGGATGTTAGCCGTCCCACCCAATTTTGTGTCATCTGTAAATCTGATAAGCATTCCCTACACCTCCTTGTTCAAATCATTAATTAAAATTTGAAAAGCATCAGCTCCAGGACTAAACCTGCAGTACCCACTTATCACCTCTCCCCATTTTGAGAAGGTGCCATTGATAAGCACATTTTGAGTCTGATTCTGTAATCATTTGTGGATCCACCTGACATTTTCCACCTAGCCCAATTTTAACTTATTTGCTAATCATGATATCATAAGGCACTTTGTCAAAGCTTTGCTGAAATCAAGATATATGATGTCCAAGCATTCCCACAATCCACAAGGGAGTTTGTTTCTTGTTGTGTGTCATCAAGTCACTTCTGACTTATGGAAACCCAATAAATGAGTGCCTTCCAAAATGTCCTGTCCTTGTGTTCAGTCTTCAGCTTTCCTTAGCAAGATTGTATTCTCCAGGGAGTCTTGCCTTCTGATGATCTGCTCAAATTATGTCAGCTTCAGTTTGGAATTTTTGATTCTAGAGAAAGTTCTAGCTTAATTTGGTCTAGGACCCACTTTTCACCATTCTTTCAATGCAGGGTATACAAGGGAGATTACCAATAAAAAATAGATCAGATTAGTTTGGCAGGATTTGTTCTTGACAAATTTGTGATTACTTTGTTCTAATAATTACTGCATTGTTTTCAAGATGCTTACAGACTGACTGCTTTAGAATCTGCTCTAGAATTTTCCTAGAGATTGATATCAGACTGTTTGATCTGTAGTTTCTAGCATCCTCCTTTTCCCCCCTTTTAAAGACAAGGACATCCTTAGACCTCTTCCAGTCATCAGCACTTCACCTGCCCTCTATGATTTCTCAAAGATAATTGACAGTCGTTCTGAGAGTTCTTTTGCCAGTTCCTTTATTAATCTAGGATGCAGTTGACTGGATCGTGGAGATCTGAACGTGTTCAATTTAATTAGGTATTTCCTGACTTATCAATCTCTGGTTGCAATCCTGCTCCTTCTGGTTGAGTTTCACCTTGCCAGGGAGGTCACAGACCCCATTTTGCATGAGTACAACTGTGCAGTTGTGCAACTGTAAGAGAATTCTTGTACATCCCTATAAAAATCTGATTCTGTCAATAAGAAGATGACAGAATGAAAGATACCTGACAATCAGCACAACATAGATGGAGCAGATTCAGCAAAATCTGTATATTCCATGGTTGAACATTTCCAAAAGAGAAGTTACAACATACTTAAAAAACAATGGTCACCAGGATTCAATTCATAAACACACCTAAGTTGGTAGTGTAGATGCACCCCAAGAGTCTACATTTCTTGAAGCTAGGAATGCAATTGTAATCACACACAGAAAAATATTTTTAAATTCTTTTCAGCTCTTTGGTTTTCATGCTTCAGGTGAGAAGCTATAGATAGCATTTTATTATAGAATTTCCACTGCTTGGTGCTTGTTTTTTTAATTCCAAAATGTCCTAAAGAGTCTTACAGATAGAAGCAACCAGCTAAATGATACTATGCACCTGTTTGGTCTTTTTCTTTTTAAGAGATGTTTTTCTGAAAATAAAAAAGAAGGAAAAAGCAGTAGAAATATATGGGAAGATTACAAATGCATGATGATGTTATCTCTCTTCTCTCCCATAAAATGTTGTGTTTGAGTTGAAAGACTGGCAAAAGAAAAGCTTTGTCTGGAAGCACACTTGGTTTCATGGAAAAGTTAAGTGAAAGTTAAGTGCTATTGAAATGTTGGTTATCATCTTGTTCCAATACAGCCAAAATAACAAGCCATGTTGAACAAACCATAGTCCAAAACCCTACAACAAACCCTTCTTGGGTTGTTCAAGGTTAACAAGCCATCGCTTGTCAGTGCAGCTCAGTTCAGATGACACAATAACCCATATTTCAAACCCAACCTGCATTTCAACGACAACCAACATGCAACCAATATTCCAGCCTTGGGAGTGGGCTACTGTCTTATCTGAATGCAGTCACTCTTTCAAACAAGAACCTCTCCATTCCCGTCACTGACACACTATGCTGGGACTCTCCAATAAGCTAGCTCTAAACTACCTGAGCCCGGGACTCCTGCAATTGCTTCACTTCGGCCTGCAGCCGTTCACACTCTGCCTTCAGCTGCTCTTCTCGGTGCTGCGAGTTCTGGACTTCTTGCCTTGTCTCTTCCAGCTCCACCTCCAACCTCTGTACCTCCAAGCTTTCTACTTGTCCCCGGGGGCTCTGCCAGTTCATTGAACGGTCCAATACTGGGAACAGAAAGACAAAGAGGGAGAAGGAAATTAAGGCACAAATGCAGAGCAGAGGTCAGACTTGCAAGCTAAGGTGCCATTTTGAAAACAACAGAGCAGCCATTTTGAGGACAACGCCTCACTGCTCAAGTTACAAGGAGCTTTTGTTCACATTTTAAAACTATCTCTGAAATCCTGTATTGGAAATTTCTGCCATGGAAACAGGTTGGCTATAATACAGCGCTCCACAGCAATGGTAGAGTCAGAACACTGGCCCAAGCAGATTTTGTAGCAGTCTGGGATTGCTGACAGAATTAAAAGAAGAAGAAAAGCAGATGAAAAGGGCACATATTAAAGGTTATTAGCGTGGGTGTATAAAGTATCAGTTACATGCCCATTGATACACCATGTGGTAGGGGTGAGAAGAATCTGTAACAACAGCAACAACAACAACACACTGTTTTTTATTCTTTGTGGCTGGCTTTATTTGGTTTTACTCTCCCGATGCTGTTTTGTTTTAATGTTTCTATTGGGTCCCTTGCAGGTTGCCGAAGATAAAAGACAGTGTCCCCTGTAGAGGAGGTTGGTGGCATTATGCCAGGATCATTCAGCAAGGGAGTGTGTTGCTATCCCTGAAAGGTGCCCTGTCACAAACCCCGTATGTATGGGCCTAGAGCAATCTGTTCTTTTGGGATCTGAAGATGCTCACCCTCTTTTCTCCAACAGCCAATTGTGTGGTAATTTTCTGGCTTTTCCTCTATTTCCCTCCATTCTAAAAGCCTGTGCTTCTCCTAAGGCTTAGCTCAAACTTCAGGCTAAAATATGCCAGGGGGTTTTAGTATTTGGGGCCCCATCCCTTTTGCCTTTGGCAGCACAGTCCCTGCAGCTTCTCCAGCATGGAATTCGACCTTGGGCTGGAAGAGTTCAGCACCCCTGGATTTGAGGGTAGCACATTCAGTCAGAGTGTATCCTTGCTAAAGCTCAGTGCCTTTTCTTTAACAAGCTAATCATCATTCTGATGCACCTCTGAGATCATGAATCCTCATTTCCTGCATCAATGTGCATTTCAAATCTCCCAGGAGGAGGTCAACTACCAACTAAGTAAATATAGGAGCCTTTATAAGACCACTCATCTTGCTACAAGAAGTCAACTGGTGTGACTCAGCTACACAATTCCCTTGAAAAATTAGTCAGAATTGGCCTGTCGATGCAAATTCAGTTTTAATCTCCTCCTTACCCCATGCCTGGACTTTTCCTTTTTTTAAGGGTGACTATTTCTCTCAGGAATTCTAGGGTGAACTCAGTGTCAACAAGTTTTTCTGTTCTTTTTTCAAAAATCACATGAACAAGAATCAAGGAATCACAGCACCATCTACTGGCCAGAAATTACAGTACTTCTTCCTAAATACCCAGAAAATCAGCCAATTGGATTATGACAGTCTGATGAATTAGGTTCTAGCACATGGATGTTACTGCACCAACTGTTATTCCAGGTCCTTAGAAATATACTCCAGGATATTTCCCTAGGAACAGCTGATGCAGTCCATATTCCATCCACCCAATTTTCCTAATGAAAGACTGTCTTTTATGGTGAGTCTAGTTTTGTGCTTGGACAACCCCAGCTCCTGAATCCCTCAAGAGAAAATGTACCTATAGCATCTATTTGCTCAAGCAAATCCCATTCAGTTTGGGATTAACTGTAAGAAAGTCTGCTTATGCTTATGCTTCATATCCCATACTGCCCAGCCTCACATCTGCATTGAGGTGTGTGTGCGTGCGTGCACATGCGCACGTTAGCATAACAACTGCCCTGCTCAGTTATTATTACATTTCCAAGTGCAAGTGTTCAAGACATTTCACAGATATGGTCTCATGGCACAATAATATACCTAGCTAGTCAAAAGTAAATTCCACTGAGTTCAATAGCATTGATTTCCTGGTTATATTAGCATAGCATTGCAGCATCCCTTTATGGTAGAACGGTATTCTTCCTAGGATTGGGCAAGACATTTTAACCAACCAACAGAGTTTATTAATTGAACAACTGTTCCTCTTCCTTCCCCATCCCTTTTTCCTTGTGTGTTCTGTCTGTGGACAGAGACTGCCTTTTTTGCTGATTAACGTTCTTACTATTATTGATTGTAAGCCATTTCAGGAGACCTTTTTAGCTAAGGAGAGGGATAAAAGAACTTTAAACGAATAATAAAATAGATACGTTCTATTTTTACTCTAAGTAAAACCAAGCAAAAAGTATGCTTGTTTTTCTATGTCATTCATGCATGTGGCACTATAAGCCATAGGGGGGAGGAGAAGGGGTTAAACTTCTATCCCCAACATGCTAGTCCCTCAGCAAACCAGGTGAATGAGCCCTCTCCATCTGATGCCTTTGATCATGCTGACTGGGGATGATAAGACTCACAAGCTGTATGTTGATGTTGTTGTTGTTGTTGTTATGTTGATGATGATGAATACAACTACAAAATATATCATACAATGAAAAAGAAAGAACACAATGTATGCAGCCCCCTGCTATATATATGCTTTTTAAACTTAGTGCGCCCCTCCACCAGGATCATATTTTTTCCTTGTTTTTTTTTCTTCTTCTTGTTTCTAGCTCAAACTTTTTGCTCTTTCAGGAATACCCCCTTCTGCCCAAAATTGCATTGCATCAGCTGAAGGTATAATGCCCTTCTCTTTTATTAGTACATATTCAATAAACAAACCCCTTATATTATTACAAACTTTCTTCTTTATCAATCCTTTTTTCACCCTAATCCCACACACCAACTTATCATTAACAGTTATATTCCAAACTTCTGCATACCATTCAATCAACTGAAGATCCCAGGGTTACAACCCAACACATCTGGAGACCACCAATATGGAGAAGGCAAGCGCAGTCTAGGCTGATATTCCTAGACAGCTCCTCACACAGACTGAGCTCTATCAGCTGACTTTACAAGCCAATGGGGATATAACAGACTGTATATAAAAGCCCTCACATCCATACCACCCTCAATGTGAACAAATAATCTGGTCTGGTCTGGCACCTTCTCTAAAATTTAGATACCAGCCTTATCTTGTCCCTTTGATCCTTGGTGCCATAACTGGACACACACACACACACTCTTGTGTCCCATTTCAAAGTATGGACACAACTCCCATCAGCCCTAGCCAGCACAGCCAGTGATGAGGGATCACGGGAGTGGTACACTAAATTATCTGGAACAGTGCAAATTGCCCACTCCTGGGCTAAGTTTTGACAATCACAGAAGGTAAAATTTTAGTTTTTTAAGGGGGTGGTAGGAAAATGGAACCCCCTTTTTAAGAGGATGCTTTCTATCTGTGTTACATTTTTTGAAATCAGCTGCCTAGTTCCTTAGAGTATCCTTTTTGGGTCAATTAAAGCATTCTTAAATTATTGATCTAAGTGATTATCAATGAAGCATTATAGCCCCATTTTGCACATGCAAAACTTAGACTGAGAATGAAGCTTCCTTGAAAAACCTCCTCATGCATTCACGGCTGAGGTGAGATTTGACTTGGAGACCTCCTAGCTCACAATCTTAGGTGTCACTATATAACAGCAGATCATCAGCTCCTTTCTCACCATGACAGTTGCAGCTTCTCCTGCCTTTCTACACAAAGTGTGACACAAAATTCCTACCACAACAGGTATCAGGGAGAACACTCCACAGGGAAGAAAAAAATCAATAAAGCAAAACCCCACCCCTTTCTCCAGAGGAAAATAATCAAGAGATTTACCATGGCTGCCATGAAGTGACAGGTACTGGACTTCCTGGTTTTGTAGCTGAGAGTTGAGGTTCTGGAAGGAGTTGCCATCTCTTTGCCTCAGCTGCTGCTCCAGGCTTCGGATTCGACTCAAATGTGTCTCAACCAGTGATCTCTGCAGGGGATCAGGCCAGGAATGGGTGGATGGGGTAGCAAGAAAGAGAATATTGAGAAAGTTGTAATGTTGCTGCGTGCCAATCTTGAGAATGGGTGGCCATAAAGACAGTAAGAAGAAAAGGACCTTACATCAAAAGGCCCTTGATTTTAAGGCTAATTTTCCATCCTCCTATTCTGAAATCTTTGGTCTTATATATGTGACTGCCCCATTTGTTTTTCCAGACCCCTGAAAACATACCCAGAACACGCTGGGCACAGGTGATGCCATTCATACACCTGCTGTGATTTAATCCAGTCTTGATTTTCAGAAAGGCCTATTAAATGAGATGTTATGCAGCCCTCCTAATGCTCATTCTAGAACAAGGTGTGCTTCAGAGCTCTTCTACACCAGGCATTTTTTTGATATTTGTTACCTACTTTTGGTCTCATTGCAACATTGAGATCTTTGCTCTGCATAAAGAGCACTTCCTTTCCTGTTTGTGTGATACATAACCTCTAGGTGGAGCTGTGCTAATACACCAGCACAAATAGCACAAATACACCAGAAGACAGAGAATGGTTTTTCCCTTTGTAATCTAATGGCTCTTTTCCACGGCTCTAAAATAAATAAGCAGATAAATAAAGTGTTCTGAAAAAACAGAAACAAAACTGGAGGTCACAATGTCATCCAAAGAGCCCATAAGAAACCATGAGTAAGGCATCACAAGTGCAGAAGAAATGCCTTGTATAGAGAAGCCCTCAGCAGCAAAGCACAGCAAAGCTGCACGTGCAGCCAGGTCATCATCTCACTTTACATGCAGACAAGCACATGCAAAAGAGGGCACTGCATGCCTTGCAGCTTCACTGCTTGAAGGAGAGAGGAAACCCACCATTTGCCCCAGCTCTGACTCAAGATCAGTCTTCTCCACACATAGCTTTTCATAGGCTTGGATCATCTCGGCTAGCTGTTCTTCTCTCTCCTTGCTTTTCTGCAGCTGGAGGGGGGGAAAAGGCAAAACTTCAAAATCATGGTTGATGGCCATCTTTTGCCCCAGATTAGGCTCAGAGGAAGCCTGTTCCTTGGGTCTGAAGCAGAAGCCAAATAGGCACAGCTCTGGTTGGCTGGTCTTTGTGTCAGTCTCACAGCCTCTTTCTCAGAGTAGCTCTTCAAGTGTTAAGAGTCTATTCAATAAATAAATAAGATGTCTTACAAAGTTAGAGCAGATAATCAGGCAGTTGTAAACCAAAAAAGCTAAGGAAAACCAGTCAAGGAGTAACACCAAATTTGTGAAGTTCTGTCATTTGCAGAGGGAAGGGAGCCATGTTGTCTCACTGTGGCCTCTGGTCAAACAGGCTTTGACATAATAAAATACAAGCAACACCACCTCTTTCCAACTGTCTTCAGGTTCCTTGGAAAACAAAATGTGCCTGGTCTCCAGCCAGATTTTCCTGGCTCCTTCCTTAACTTTCTAACGCAGCTATTATTCCAGCCACAGAACTGCATTTCTGAAATTACTTCTGAAATCTAACCACCATAACAACAACAATAAAGCACACACTCTAGTTAGATATTTAGGGAAGATGGAAGGAAGGAAGGGATCATTTTTGATACTAAGTATCATCAGAAACAAAAGGTATGGAAAATGAAAACACCGTGCTTGTTTTGATAAAACTGGCTTCAGTTAGTTTCTGTTTTGTGAGACGGGTCAAGCCAGACTAAACCCCGCTAAAGGTTGAATTAAGAGGGGAAAGTGAAGGAGGGGTGGAAGAGCCCTTCTGCTGGTGGACAGCAGGCAGGACAGCTCGACCACCAAGCAGGTTCCTGGCATGTCAACAATATTTCTGATAGCATTGAAGGCACACCACGTGTTACATGGGTGGAGTGCGGGTGACTTTGGGGTTTTCGAAGCCGGAGGCCCCTTGCTGTCCAGTCACAGTCCCGAAGTTACACAATATTTTCCCTGCCACTGGAACCAGTGCAAGGGAATTCTTAAATTCTCCACTGGGGAACCAAAAAGCAAATAAATAAAACATCATCTGCACCTCCAGTCCTAGTCAGAGATCCAGCAGAGCTTGTAAGCAGCTGATCTGTCACTCTGTTTTCCCCTCCACACACACACTAGAATTGCTCTCTTAGTCCTGTCTTTTTAAAAACATATTAATTTAACAGCAACAGATACGCTGTATTTCTGTGCTCTTACTGAAATGTTCCAAAATGCTGAAGGAGTGAGGTCAGAATTTAGCCCGCAGCTATTTCCAAAAGCAAACACATGGATATAAACAGGAGGTTCCCAAAGCTCAGGAGGCCAAGTAGACAATGTCAGGCCAGAAGGCCCAGGGGTTGGAGTTGTCTTTATACTCATGTGCAAGTTAACACTCAGGAAGAAACACGCACTCATTAATGTCCTTGAAAGTAATGCTTTGCAAGCTCCTTTTGTAAAGCAGCTGTGCTGCTTTTCCTGCAGCTTTGAAGAGGAAGTAGCTAAGGAAACAGTGTACTGAAATTAAATAAATGCAACAATGAGAAACTTATTTTAACATCAGCTGCAGAAATTCTTTTGGTACCTCCTTGGTAGATGAAAGAGTCAATACGCTGGGAATAGGGAGATGGTATGTGGTCTTTAACATGAAATGTTACTTCTCAACAAAAATAAAGCCAGAAACCAGGAAGGGGCACTCTTCCTCTAGCACCTGAGACCAGCTTTGGGTTGGGAAGGGCCACCAAGCCAGCTGTTGGGGGGAGAGGGTCAGCCCCTTCCTGGTCACTTTTGGGGGGACTCTGTCCCCTTCTGCTTTCTCATACCCCCACCAGGGTCCTTGCTGGTGTCAGGCATCACCAGGCATGGCCCATACCAAACTTTTAATCTTGTGGTTGTTACTTGCTTTTTAGAGGTGAGGTGAAAATATGATGTAAGTGGAGAACCTTAGGATTCTGGACCTAGTGACAGATACCCAATTCTCTGCTTCCATGCTGTGTCACAACAACCTTGTGAAGTAGGCAAATCCAAGAGACAGGACTTGGCCCAAGGCTACCCCACAAGCTTTGTGGCTCAGCGCACATTTGAGCACAGATCTCACCATTCCTATCCTCATGCACCGAATAATTAGAATGTTTTATGAAACCGGAAGTGGTGTTGAATGAACAAGAGAAATAAGCATGTTTTACTCTTATTCAGGGTACCAGATCCCATGTGATCAGTATAGGTTCAGGGCAGAAAGGCAAAAGAAAAGTTTTTCATAAATGCGTAATTCAAATATGGACTTACCTAGGCTCTCTAGCTCAACCACCCCAACTGTACTGGACCAACCCTTGGGGATGATGGGACCTATAGTACCATGCTACTAGAGGACAGCAAGTTAGGGAAGGCTGCTCTATCCAATACACTGGCTGTAATCACTGATGTTACTTCAATTCATGTACTGCTCCAAAGCCTCCACACGCAAAAGTTTCTGAAAATCCTCCATTCTGCCTGGCTGAAGTCAGCAGAACAAGAGGAGGGGCAGAGATGGCAATTATACCCATCTTTCCTGGGGGTGCTTTGGAGGTGAAGGGAAAGGGGCTGCAGGTGGCTCAGGATAACTCCCCTGCTGTGATACCCCTTTCCTCTTCCTCAAATGCCTGTTTGCAGATCCGAAGGGCAGCTGGCGCAGCTCTTTCCACATGAGCTGCAAGGCAGCATGGGAAGAGGGGCAGACCCCTGGCTTTCCCTCCCAAGAAGGGGGCTGCTTCCAACCTGAGAAGGCTCTTCCAAGCATCCGTGTGGCCCCTGTCATACTCTCCCCTCAGTCACAGGATTGCTCTCCCCGCTCTCATTTATGTCTGAGAAATCAGCTGCCATTCCTTTCAAGCCTCCACATTCCTTTTGCATGTTCTGCTTGTTATGGTGTGCGTGTTTTTAAACTGAGGCTCCTTTTGCTTGTTTTTCCATGTTGAAAGCTTCTCATGCAAATGCAGCACTGGAATTTGAGATGCGAAGGCTGCATGAGATATAAACCAGCACAGCACTGAGTCTTCACCTGGTTTGAAGTTGTGATTTGAGACACGTAACTCGATCTTCTGCCTGCCATCCCCTGTGCAACCATGCCCTCTCTGTGCTACCTAGAACTCTGGAGTGGAAACTGTAGCAATCTGCAGAAACCTTTCCTTTCCTCCTGCCTTCGAACTGTAATGGAACTGCAGAGCTGCAGCAGGGAAAGTCTCATCAATTTTACCATTAAAAAAAAATAACCAATGTACTGTCCACTGCAGTGCTTGTGTGCACGCAGAAGCTCCGGTAAACTCCGGCTTCTTGAAGCTGCGGCAGTGGGAGTGGGGAGGAACTCTTCCTGCGGAAAGGTGTGAAGATGCAAGGGAAATTGCATGGCAGTGGAAGATTTTCCATTATTAAAGTTACTCTTGAGCAAGCTCCAATCATTTCTCTCACCCTGGTGAGCAGCCTGCAACCGCCCAGTCAGAGCAACAACCCTTTCTTCCAAGCTCAAAGCTGCAGAGGGGTGTGTGTGTGTGTGTGTGGAGAGAATTATCCAGCTGTTGTTTGAAAATCAAGTCCAGTTTTGAGGGCCCTTGAGCAAGACACCCACAAGGGAAACCATCGCTCTGGTTCATTGCTGCTGCCACTCCTCCTCTTCCTCAGTGTTCTCAGCACTTGCTTGCTAGAGAGGAAGTCATCCAGGGCTGTGCCATCCTCTGCTGCTCCTTCTCACCACCACCATTGTCTGGGCAGAGTGACATGCAGACAGGCAGACAAGCAGGACGCCATGATCATGGAGAGGAGCAACCCCAGGGGGAGCTTGTCACTGGGCCCCCTTGACAGGTGCCCAGCCATGCTCACCCTGTGCTGTTTTGCACATACATCCTGTTAAATTTCAGACACGCTTTTGGGAGGCTCCCCACGCTGTCTATACCAATGATTCAGATTACAATGATGAGATTGTTTATGAAACAGTTCGGATTCTAGCTGCAATTCAAGGTCCTGAGACTCAACAGAAAATTCCAGTCAGGGAAATTAGCACAAGGGCAGATGGGGGGGACCAGTCTACCCAGCCATGGAATCAGGGAGGAAATACAGCCTGAGGGAGGGGACACTGAAATGGGAAGCCTCTCTGATGGAGAAGCTCTGCCCTCTGAAGAGGCAGACCTGGTCACTCCTCGTCATCGTCATCACTGGGGGGAAGCCCAATCAGGCGCACAAACGGAGAAGAGATGTACCTGTTTTCACAGCACCTCCTCCCAGGGGAGAGAGAGGCTCACAAGCAAAGCTTCAGGAAATGAACAGTGGAAAGGGCTCAACACTTCACTTTGTGCATGCTCAGAGGCTCAAATGTAACAATAAAGATCATTAGCAAAGAAACGCTGGTGAGACTGATACTGCTTGGAAGGGGAAGCTCGGCTCATGACAGCTTGAACCCTTTCTCACCACTAATCTGCCCCACTGGAATTTCCCATTGGGTCTCAGGATGTTAAATTCCAGCAGCACCCTGAACCGTTTGATCAGCAGTTTCATCACTGTAATCTGAATCAGCAATATAGTCAGCATGCGAGGCCCCCAAGAGTGTGCCCGAAATTTGGCAGGCCGCACATGCATGACATCTGCTGACATCCCCTTTGCCCTCTTCAGCGCCAACCTTGGGAGGAAGACTGCTTGGAAACTGCCAGAGGTCAAGGTGCCCCCATCATGCAGTGCCCCACTGGCATGTCCCTGCTCCCTTTCCTGCGCCAAAGTGGAAGGGGAGTCAAGAGGTCTCCTTGATTACTGTGTACTTGGGCTGTGTACCTGCAGCCCAAACAGACCTTCTTTGCTTAGGTTACAGAGCTAGTTTGGCCACTGCTGCTGCTCAGTAGAGGGTGGGAGCCAAAACCTGGAAGGTCATCCAAAACCAGCACATCTCTGTTTTGGAACAGTGCACCACAATTCACAACACAATGGTACCTCACACATCCTATGGCAGAGGATGAGCTAAGAGGACTGAGTTGATTTCCTTCTCTCTTTAAAGCCTTTCAAGAGTGTTGGCAAGTCAGCTCACCTCACGCTGGAATTGATTCAACTGCTGCTGGAGGTTGGCTTTCTCACTCTTCAAAAGAGAGGTCTCCTTGGAGTCATAGGATGGGAAGATACGTTCCTCTCCAAACTCACTGATCAGTGGGAACTGCAGGCCAGGAGCGCAAGAAAACCAGGCGAATGTTGATTTAAAGAAGAAAAAGAAGAAGGAAAATGCACAGCCCACTTCTCCAAATATTTGCACAAAGTGGAGAGCTATAATAAAGCAGTATGCAAAATTTAAAGTACTAGTCTTCAATTTCAGAGGGGCAGCTGTGTTAGTCTGTTAAGAGTACCTTAAAGACGCATTGTGTATCCACAAGACAGATGTATTGGGGAACAAGCTTTTGTGGACTACAGCATACATCTCAGAACAAAAATATACCCAATTTTACTATACGACCATATCAATTGGCACAGTATTTCCCTCACGGCTAGCTTACCTGTGCTTTATGATATTCTGCTGAGGCTCTGCTCCAAGCATCTGCCTTGCACAAACAAGATGATGCTTGTGCTGGTGCCTAGGATGGCCACAAACCCTAGTTTAGAGTGGACTGCCTTTTATTTGAAGGGCTGTACAGTCCAGGACAGATTTAAATAAAAAGAACCAAAGGAAGGGGTGAACCACCAGGAGCCTATCAACAGCTACCATCTGGGCAGCATGGCTGCCTAGTGGGTGGCTAGGGGATGCTAGGAGTTTTAGGAGTTTTTTCTTTCTAAACATGCATTATGATTGCACCCCAAGACAGTTTTATTTATCAAAATGTGTTATTTTGTGCTGTGTTCTGTTATTTATTATGGTTAACATTAGTATTGAAGAATATTGTGCTAAGTCTTAAATAATATCTGTGTGGTTGCCCACTGTCCTGGAATCTGATTTGATGAAGGGCACTTTTAAATAAACAAACTAACTCTAACAAGACAGATAAAAGAAGCAATCCTATGATTCCTGAGAGAGCATTTCAGAGGCTACATATCTCCCCAATAGGGACAGAGGATGAAATTCTTTTATTCTGACACTAGCTGACTCTTCAGTTTTACCAGCCCTTGCAATGGGCTAGTTAAATAAATACAGTTCGATCCTAGTAAATTTGGTTCAGCAGAGGTCACAGACATATCCACGAGCCTGCCCCTCACCTTGATCTCATACATTTTCAGTTTCCGCTTCAGGCTACTGTTCTCCCGCTCAAGCCCTGTCAGCCGGTTCTTAATGTCATCGTAGGCTGTGATGAGAGCAAAGTGAGAGGCAGAGCACATCTCACTGGAGAGGTCAGTATTGGGGCTGTCCAGCCACTCATCATCCTGGACCAGGGCATCTTGGGTAAGGATGCTGATGTCATCTTCAAACATGGAGTCCATGGCACAATCCGGAACAGGTGGGCGTTCAGCAGGAAACACCAACGCATGGCAAATCCCAACTGTAGGAGTTGACAAGGAACAAAAGCAGAAGCGTAAGGTCTCCACCACTGCCTTTTCCCCCTCCAGCCTCCCTTGCTTTAAATGCCTTATTTTTTCTTTCTTTTTTAGTCCATAAGGCTGAGAGAAAGCCCTCTGTCTTATTTTCTTCTATGTACAGCATCTGCCAGTGACACTGTAAACGGAGTTTTAATTGCTGTAAGCCACTCTGGGACAATTTTTGCCTGGAATGTGGGATAAAAATAGAAATAAGAAAAGAAGCTTGGTAATTAATATTTGGTAATCTAAGAAGAATGCTTCATTGTATCCAAAACAACAAAGGTTCTTACAGCACCTGAAAGATTAACAATGTATTTATTAAGGCTTTAAGGTGCCACAAGACTCTTTGTTATCTTTGCTGTAATAGATTAACAAGGCTACCCCTCCGGGAATTATCATATCAACACTTTTGTCTTTACTCTCATTATCTCCCCTCTCTCAATTAATGGCACTACTGCCAAGCTCATCTGTATTTCTGGCTTCCATCTTAGCATCCCCTTTCTGCTCAAGGCTACCCACCATGTTGCAGGGCAAATTAATACTTTTATTGCTCCACTTCTGTGCCCCAGACAGTAGGCGGGGCATTCACAAGATCCACCCATGTGTGTTGAAAGCACAGGCGAAGTTAGCACCAGCTAGTTTGGCCTGCTGAATGCATCAGCTATGAATTTGGAAGCCGTGTGAAGAAATCAACGGACGTGCCTCTGGCAACTCCTAGCAAGGGGAAATCCTGGAGTCAAAGAGGCCTAGTATCCCTACCACACAAATTCAAACTTCACTATTAAAAAACAGAATGAAAACTGCAAAGGTTACATATCAAAGAACACACACACACAAACATGTATACAACTTTCTTCTGTTGATAAATGTTTTTATTTCTCCAACAACCTTTACAGCTTTTGTTCTGACCTCTTTCTATGAGAGGGGAGATACCTGGCTGAAAAGAGAACCCTCCTGCATGGAGATTCCCTTCATGCCCATGTCAGTATCTGGACATTTGTGGAAAAGACTAGCCTGTGTGATTGCGACTCCCTCCACGTAGTTTCGGTGTATGAAAAAGTTGCCAGGATGCCACCCCATCCCCAGTGATCGCTTGCTGCACATGTCTCCATTGCAGTGGGGCTTCTATAGAATAACTTTCTGGTGGATCGGGCTCCGTGGATTAGATCTAACTGCCTCATTATACTAGGCACCAGCGCCAGCCGTTTGGCCTCGCTCGTGACAGAACTGTCTCTGTGTACTTCCATCTGCACACACATATCACCGTCTGTTTCAAGCATCTTCCTGCTAAAATGAAAGGGAAATCTGGGACTTCAAATGCTGAGTGAGAACTTTCTGCTCTCAGACAGTGGAGGAAGAAGATGGATCAATCAGACAGACACACAGGTGGCAAACTCAGACAACTGCAGAACTTAACCATCGTAGCCACAGAATGTAGAAATGGCATGGAAGTATGAAGGAATGGGATGGGGGGATGGCAAATGAAAACCTTAGTGGTGAACGGGGATGAAATCTGGTATTAAAGAAAAGCACCAAATACAGGAAAAGGTGGGAGTCCAAATTGTGTTGCAGCCACTTGGATGGCAAAGCTGTGTGTGTTTTGAAGGTGGTTGATGTGGGTGTATTTGTCACGGAAGTGAAGCTGCAGGCACCATTCCAAAAAAAAGGGGGGGGGGAAGGCTGCAGTGTTTTTGAAAACAACAATGTATGAATGAATCTTATGGCACGTACACAAAAACACCCCCTCATTCTCTGTGACTGGGGGGGAACAAAGCTGGAGTAATTGATAGATACAGATAGGAACACAGGAAGCTCGCTGCCTTATACTGAGGCAGATTGATGGTCTATCTACTTCAGCACCAGCTTTTCTGGGGGGTGGGGTAGGGAAGAATAGACCAGTTTCTACTGGTAGATCTCTGGGTGATTTGCCTCTCAATGGTTTAATAATAGCAAGAACTAGCAGGCCCCAACCTAAATCAGATTGCTGAAACAAAGCATGGGGAAAAACCAAGCCGATACCCACACACAATAGTTAGCCAACAGTTCTTTGAGTGGATTAGGGCCCTGAAACCAAGAGCGTTCATTCTTATTGTGCGAGATTATAATGCCAGACAGCTGACCAGATGCTTCCATTAGTTCTGTGTGTGCGCGTTTAAAACCTTAGTCAGTCATTGTTTAGAGCCAATGACCTGGTTCACATGTCACAGCATCCAGGAATGACCAGGGACAAGCGGAGAGAGCAAGACACTTCTGCTTTTAATTGACAACACAATTTTGGATTTGGTTCATGATGTGCAGACCTGAAAACTCTGGGTTATTTATGAGTTAAACAATCCAGACAAGCTAACATTTGCTGTTAACTCTGAGTTATTTGATCCATGAACAACTCAGTGTTTCTGGGCTTTATAACTCACAAAACAACCCAGGAATGGGGTGTTTCTGGGTTTTTAATTAAAAGTGGAAATGGCTTGTGAGCTGCAATAGCTGGGTTAAACATTCCAGGAATTATTGCCATGATGGGTGATCAGAGTCAAGATGAAGGCAAGTTTTAATCAGTAGGGTTTAAGGGTAACCCATGGAAAAGGCATTTATCCTTAAATGTACTTATGTAAAAGTAGGAGAAGTCTCAAGTCTGTTTCTCTCCTAATCCTTTTCTCCACCCTTTTCTCTCGGCTAGTTTGGCTGTGTGTTCTTTTTGGAATGGAACAGTCCTCTATTTGAAGGGCTTCTACAAGATCGTTCTCTGTTTTGAAGTCATCTGGCTTTCAAAACTGCTCTGGCTTAAAGTTAAAGAAACATCAGAAGAGTGAGAAGGCAGCAGGAGCCTTGAAGGTACCCATCCGCAAGGAGAGCCTGGCAGCAGGTCACACAGCTCACCTGGTCAGACTCTTCAGCACTTTATGGACTGCTGTAATAATTTCCATTTAAATAACTATGATTTTTAAATATGTACCTACGCAATACATTCACGTATTAACAAGCATTGCAAATAGGGGTCATCTTTTCCTCACAGGTGAATCAAAGGGGACACCTGAGTCCTAAGTGCAGTAGGGACAAATCCAGACAGCTGCTCACTGCTACAGGAGGGAGTGGGTGGCATATGAAGGGTCCAAAGGTGGCCTGGGTGGACTCAGTCCCCTCATCGCCCTTCATATTAGTGTGGTTAAAGCTAAAAGCAAATATTCAGGCTTACAACCCCACCTGGGGTGTATTTGGCAAGGGAAAAAAAGCCAAGGTGGCTCTTCTACCTTCTGTTTGTGAAATCATAAATTGCCTCCTTTAATATTTCATACTAAATCCCTTCCCTGCTAAACATTCCTCGATTTTTCTTTTTTAAGATGAAAAGATGTCTAGGTTTATTGCCAGGACAACAGCAACAGTTGCAATCACGATTAAGAAGAAACTCACAAAAGAACAAAGTCTTTCTATACAAACAGAAGAGAAGCAAAACGATGCAGTATCTTGGTATTCATCTGCTATTCATTTTCAGTTATGGCAGAGACTGACTGCAAGCTGCTGGCCTCCAGAAAGACTCTCCTTGAATATTTCTTTAAATTTGACCACTTCATTTATCCATTTGAAAAGTCAAAGCTTTACTGGGATACATCTCTTATTATTACTTGCTCTTTTACCACTGGAGAACAGAGGCCAGGGGGCTTGCCCAAGGCCCCCAGCCGCTCCCTGACAGAACTGGGCCTCAAATGCATGTCTCTGAGATCTCAGCACCCCTCTGGAATAGCTGGCATGTTGCTCAGCCTTTCGCAACCTGCTCACCTCCAGATGTGTTTGACTGCAACTCCTACAATCACCTAGTCAGCCAGCTGGGAATTCTGGGTGTTGCAGTCCAACACATCTGGGTGGCACCAGGTTGAGGAAACCCGTATCAGCACATGCAAAATCCAAAGAGAGGGCTGGAAGAGGGAAGAATGCGAAGAGTTAATGATAACAACTTAACCTGTGCACATTTTTTCCGACTGCCCATCCTTAGCTCATGCATACTTCATGGGCCTACTGAGATTACAAGCTGGTCTCCAAGCAAATTCCAGACAGGGAGTAAAGGTACAGCTTCAATAAGCAAAAGAAGCACCCTTGAAAGTCCATTTGTATTGTCTCCACACCCAACAACATTTCTTGCTGGAGATAGTGTGCTATTTCCCTTCTACATTCCATTGTTTTGTTTTTGCTGGCATGATCTTTTTCCCCATGGGGGGAAGCATTGTGGTTATTAAAGGAATTAGTATTTAAACGCATTAGGTTAAATAAAAGCCCACACACACCCATGCGAAACACATCATTAAGATAAAGAAGAGCACCACCCATGCCTGCAAGGCAAAACTTTTTTTTTAATGAGATAAGCAAAAAAGCAAAATAAGAGGTTCCTTCAACTCTAAATGGGAAGGAAGGAACCACTCAGTGGCTTGAGAGCAATCACTAAGTTTCAGCCCAGCCTAACTCATAGGACAATTGTGCTGAGGATGCAATGGAGAGGAAGTGGACTGTGTAAGGCAAAGGGAGTGGGGAAGCAGGGTATAAATATAGTACTAAAGAAATACATCCATGATATCACAGACTTGAACCTTCACAAATGCAGTACGAACCAACCTCAGAATGCAACTGCCACATTTCTCTGTTCTCCTAATGTTACAAAACAGTTCTCGCCTCCCCACCCTTATTCTACCAAAACACATTCTCAAATATGTCTTTGAGATAAAGCACTTTTATAAACGTGCATTATAAGAGAAAAATCTGTGGGAAAATACATAGGCATTTAAAGGCAACTTTTTTGCACAGATTTGGTGTGTGGGTGTGGCAGAAATGGAAACGAGAAGAATGGCATTGTGTTGAGAGAACACAACCCACAGGGGCTGGAAATAGATGTATCTGTCCATCGGCAGTGATGGAGTGCCAGCTTTGTACAAGGTCGCAGTTTCATCATCCCCAGTGCAAAGAATCAGGGGGCAGA